CTGAATTTGCCACATGAACTAGCATGACCAAGCTACCAGGTTGCCTCTGAAGCCAAGGACCAGCAAAGAACAAGTTGTCCCACTCTGGGGTCTGTGATCTGAGCCTGGGAGCACCCCTCTCTCTCTGACTTGAGAGAGGGCCTAGACAAGTAGCTAAGACTAGACACATTCTGACCATGATCTACCCCAGATCAGGACTCCAGCTTTTAGAATGAAGTAGAAACTGCTGAGAACAAACAGGCAAGGCCTCTCACCTGGCCACAGCATGTCTCTCTGACCCTGCCCTTTCCTCTTGGCTAGGTCTCTGTGAAGGGCAAGATCCCACCAAATAGAAAACACAAGATGAACTCCCTTCAGTCATCTTACATTCTGATACAGTCAAGCCATTCACTTGAGAAATCACACACACGTATGCTGTTAAGTCATTTAAGCATAGTATCAACAACCTGAACCAAATGAAACCTTGAATTTGAGCAATCAGCCTCTCCCTATTTAGCAAGCAATGGAAACGCTCCTGCAACAAAGTTGTCAAACCGAAACAATCCTGGTTATGGTCTATGACAGCGTCTAATCCAAGAGCTTTTTCCAGGCTCTTAACCATTTTCACACTAAACTGTATGCTTGCTTTTCTGAAAAAAAAAAAAACCAAAACATTGTTTAAAATACACCTTTCTCCTAGTAGGCTCTACAGTGCTCCTCCACATTGTGGGCTGCCTGCTGGGTTCTGCCAAAGCCACCCCAGGCAGCCAGCACACAGCAGGCTGCAGGCCAGGGAAAGCCTTGCCAGGCCTGTGGCACGCTGCTGGGCATGCAACAATCTAAGAGCTGTACTGCTGCAGCAGTACACACAGACATGTGGCAGAGCCTCAGAAATATTTTTGAATTTTTTGGTTCAGTAAGTGAAATTTTTTTTTTTTTTTTTTTTTTTTTTTTTTAGTTTTAAGAGCAGAGCTGCTAACACCAGATCTCTGCTGAGAATCTGCACAGCATTTGAGAGCTGGGGACCTTGCTATGGACAACTAATGCTCTTCTGCCTAGTCACACATTGAATGCAACCCGTTTTTTTGCCAGTTATCCAAGCACCTCTATTAATAACCCCATCTTCTTTACAGTACTGCCTTGTGCCCTGCTTTTTGCTTGTCTCAGTTTGTAAGGACTTCACAGAAGTGAAGGTGTCTCATTTGCAGGAAGGGATCGCACCTGAAGAAATCATTGTAAGATAGTTTGGATTTTTCCTACTTTATTCCTTCAGAGCAGAAGGAATTTGACTGGACAGAAAACAAGCTACAAGCTGCATCCCTCACAGCTTGCGTAGGAGTCAGAGACCAGTGAGAGATGCACTGTATGAAATTTCCGGAGTGTTCTTCTTCCCTCCTCCCCTCAATTTAGGGATTCCCTTCCCTTCTCACCCTTTCTTCCCTCCCTCCCTTTAATTAAAGCCAGAATACGGTTTTAATTAAAGCATGCCTGGATGGTTCTACCTTCTCTGATTATCCAAGAGAGATGGGGCATCACTGCACACCCACGGCAACATGCCCATTTCCACTCCACGACAACTCTCCAGCTTGTAGCTACAAACAAGACTGTCCTCCGTATGGTTTTAGGAAAAGGCAGGGATTTGTTAGAGCAGAGGCACTGCAGCCCCTATTCTCCTTGGCTGGCAAATAACCTGATGTCAAACATCCCCTCTGTAGCGAGGGACCTCAGCTGTACTGGCCCATCAGATTGTACCTCCTGCCTAAAGTGCCATGACAATGCACAGGTGAATAAGCTGTGCATAGCTGCTGGGTACACAGTATTCATCAGTTGTCTGCATTGGATCTGCCTGATTTTGCACATCCTAATATAATGTAAACTTAATATAAACCTGCCCCCTTGCACATCCTGATTTAATGGACTAAGAGAATTCTTTCAACAGCTAAATTAGGCCAGAAGCGCACACAGCCGGTGTTACTATGACACTTGCAGAGCATACATGTGTTAAGCCTCAATATGAAATTAAAAGGAAATAGAACTGGTGAACTGACATTTAGGAGCAGAGGTCACTTCAGGCTGCTGCATGACACTCCCTTCCAAACTCATACCAACTCTCCCAAACTCCTCCATCTCCAACCACTTCTATTGAGGATGAAACACGGCATTGCCTATTCCGGCACAGTAGCTTGCAATTTACTGCACCCTCCTGCTTTGGAACTTCAGAGGATGGACAAGTACACACAGTAAAGCTTCAGACTTACCAGACAGATTCACACCACCCTATATCCTCTTTACTCATCCTGTCTGCTGGCCTCCCTTAGCAGGATCCTATCTGCTGTGGGCTAAGAGCACATGGGCTCAGTTAGTGAGCTGCAATTTGACTACACACCAGTCTCCTAGACAGGCACGTACGGCTTATTGCATTGCCACCCGTGTACTGCAATGAACCCTATCTGCCTTGTAGCTGTAATTCCAGGCTAAAACGCTACTGTGGGCTTGCAGCAGCCACCACCAGCATCTACCCAACAAACTAGTAAGGAACCAGGATGAGAAGTTAAAGGCTTGAGGCTATAAAATCCACCTCTGTCCTTGAGCACCACTTCAGCCTTTGTCCTTCAGAAACAATCCAGCAAAGATGTTCCAGTTCACATACTTGTCACCAGATTTCTCCCAGCAGGCCCATATAACTTTGTCGTTGACAAAATCCAGGCTGTAGTAACAGCTTGTCATCAGCAGGTGAAGCCTCTCAAACGAATGCAGTACTCAGCCACTGCCAGCTCACGCTCCAGCAAAACGCTTCTCTCCCCCTCCCCTGCAAGCTCTAAAAAGCTGTGATTACAGCATGTAAGAGATACACAAAGAAACAAAACACAGTGTTGATAAGCACAGCCGTTCTTTAGCTAGGATTTCAGCCCAAAGCCTAGCAAGCCTGAAAGTCTTTCCTCTTCTGCGCATAACACAAAGGCCTCTCACTGCAACTAGGTTCTCAAAGATCCATCAATGTGCAGAAAAAAATACCCACTTTCCTCTCTTGTATTTCTCACACCATGTCGACCACTGTACACGCTGGTATGTATCATTCGGCTTGTCCCTGATGAGGGGATGCCATTCCCCCTTCAGATCTCAGAGACCTCCCGTTGGAGCAACCAGCAGATCTCAATTTTGGAAATGAAAGGGTTTTGCCACCAGCAGGGAACTCCCTTCAGCAGCACACTCTGCAGCATCGCCCCTGCTAGGGCAAAAAGCACAGTCAGCCTTTGAGCCACCAGCACCACTGCACAGAAGTGTCATCTTAACACCAGGAACCCAGTTCTTCCCCAACAGAGAACAGCCTCTTGGGTCTGCTCAAGGGCCCTGGACCTGCGAAAAACTCCTTCAGTACCCTTCTGCTTCCAAGCATACTGGCCAGGCTCATGAAGGGGCTGTGCAGGACCTGCAGGGCTGTCACACAGCCACAAAGCATGTGCTGCAAGAGCTCCCACCCGCTCCGAGATGCTTCAACACCTTCTGCCAAAGCAGAGATGAAGGTCTTGTGTGGAGTCTGCTCTCAGTCTCCTGCTCCCTGCATCACGCTATAGCTGGGTCCTGGATCTTGTATCATGGTGACCCAGGGTTAAAACAAACGTGTTAATTTGCTCTAGATAGAAAGCAACACAGCAGAACCACCAAGCAGGTAACAAGTGCTGAAGTCACTGCAAAGCCACCAGGGCTTCACTTGTCTTTCTGTCATGGAAAAGCAAAGCTGCCAAGGAGGAACCAGCCACTGCTGAACAGCCACATGCCCAGCAGCACTCTGGGGAAACCAGCCCAGCTGGCAAGTCTCCAAGCCCAGCAAGACTCACTCTTCTCTCCAGGCTTACATGATCCACTCCAGCAACTGCAGAAGCACTATCAGAAACCTAAAGATGAAACCATCCCTCAAAGCAAATCTAGCAGGTGAAGCCCGCAGTAGGTGAGCCCATTACAGCTATAGTTATCCATGCACTAAACAAGGAGCTCTTGGTGATGAAGCCCGAAGTACAGCATCATGGACAGAGTGTGAATTCACACGTGAAAATAAAAGCCTGCTGTGAAATTGTCTGCTGCTGAAGTATCTTGAAGTTATCTTTAGAAGGGTAGCATAATGTCTTTGTTAGCTGCTTTAAAATAAATAAAAAACTGCCGAGACAGTAGTCTGGGAGCCTATTTAAAAAGCGATAATCATAACTATGTGACTAATCTGGGCTACATATAGGCTTTCACAGTTGTCAGCTTCCTGGCATGAAGTAGTACAGCTAAAACTCAACTCTTCCACATCTGAGGTACGGGAGTCTGAATTGCCGGTGGCTGTAAAAAAGCCTGTGATCTGGATGCTCAGCTTTATCCATTTAGAGGTATTGCATGCAGTTAGTCCATCCTTCCTCACGCAGTTAAAGAAAAACTATTAGCTACGATGCACAAGGGAAGCAATCGGGTTTAAGCTGATTAAAATCAAATAATACAATGCAAATTATGTTTCTGCTTTGGCAATAAGAGAAAAGGTTTACTTTTTCACCATCCCTGTAAGTTGGACAGTCCTCAGTAAAAACAACTCCATCAGAACAACTCAGTGTGAAGGTTCATCATGGAGAACCCAATTTCTGTCTCAGTGACCATGAGAGCAGGACACCCCACCACCGATAGTAGATACATCCTCCTGTTTTTAATACCTATATCTGAACACCCTTTAAATATCATCAAACTACTTTCCCTCCTGTCCAGGGGAGATTTCATTTCAACCCAGGCTAGGTTCATTTCTCCAGAAAGTAGACTGTATGAAGATTGAAAAAACAAAAGGCAAAATCCACATGTCGACTTTGACAATCATCCAACACCCCGTAAAACTGAACCAAACAAAGGCCATTGGGGCCTCCAAGGACGCTGCACAGAAGGGCCATCAGGCAGCAGCATGCACAGCAACACCAGGACAGTGGCCTCTCAGGCAACCAAGACACCTGGTACAGTTTTCCTAAATATGCCAGTGTGCACATGTAAGTTCTGTACGGCAAAATGTCATCACCCTCAACTTCTGAGCCACCAGTGATGGCAGAAGGAATACTCACGATTTGTCTCTCCTGCATGCCCGTCTCTGAGGGCTGGCTTGCCTTCGGCGAGGGGACAACGACTTACCCCGTGATCTCTCTTTCGTCGGAGAATGGGCACTTGATGGTTTCAGAATCTGCAAGAGATGGGGGAGGGATGGAAAAGGCGTTCAATAAAGGCAATGATTCACTGAAAATAAAAAATAAAAATAAAGGGCCTCATAGAGCAGCAGGGACAGCACACAAAGAGCCTTCAGTCCCTTGGGGCTTATTCAAACCCTGCCCAGGTTAAGAGGAACCCAAAGCTTACCATGTGATAGCCGTTCAGGGACTCCCTGCAAAAATTAGTTGGTGTCACCAATTCAGTTACCAGCTAAATACTGAAAAAAGGTCTCATCCACAGCCTTCTTCAGAGCTGGCAACAGCAAGGGATAAGAAAAACAGCTTTGAGCCTCAGCTGAAGGAAACTCATGCAGACAAATCGCCCTCTCCAGCTTTCCTCTCTATAAACAGAGGCAGACAGTTGAGCTCTCTGTGACAGTGGGACTTCTCAGTAGTAGGTCTCCTGTCTACTTGCACATTTGCCCACATCCCCCAGGCCTCTCAACCACCATCAGCATGACACTCACACTCTGGGCTATTTTTAAGACCTGATCCTCAAAAGTCAGCCCCCTCACCACAGAAGCCCTCTGAATCAAGGGGCTCAAATTCTGAATTAACTCGAGGGAAGAGTCAGATGCAGGGTGTTCAGCCTTCAAGGGTTCAGAGCTGCCCTTAAGGCACTTACAAGGACTGGACCCAATATCACAGCTCAGCACGCACACAGAGCTGGTCCCTCTATCAAAAGCAAGTACTAAGTTCAGTAAGTCATCCACTCACATGGACTTCTTCAACTAGTGCCTGCTTCAGCTGTTTATTCTCTAGATGGTATTAAAAGTGCATGAATAGAGAAGAGGAAAAAAGCTTCACTACATCTGTAATGAAGCACATGTGCTTAAGGTGACAGTATGGTACAAGTCAGCCCTCAAAACTCCTTGGCAAGGCAGGAGAGGTGGCAGCAGGATGTAGGGACTACGCTACAACTGGCAACACTCACCCCAAGGTCAGGGCCAGGGGGCAGGTGCCTCAGCCAAAAAGGCACGCGGCTGCTACGTAGAAACCATTCCTCAGGAGGGCAGGGGAGGGGAACCCAGAATAACTTGGACACGATGCCACATGCCTCTCTGCGAGAGCTAGCCCCATACTTAGCAAGACACCTGCTCTGCTCCTGCTGCCAACAGCAGGCTGCAAAGGCACCAAATCCCCTTCAACCATGGCCACAATCAGCTCCTCACCCACGCCAGCCCCAGAGGTACAGGTCAAGGACGCCCCGCATCTCCAAGAGAGGCTAAACCCTCCAGCCCCCTGGCAGCCTGCCTTGTCTCCCCAGCATTTCCCTCTGGGCTTCTCAGTCCAAAACAGCCAGCTGGGAAGCACCAACCTGTCAGGGACTCACTTTCCTCATCTTTCTCACATAACCTACTTTGTGATATAGCCAACGGTCGTAGGCATCAGGCAGTGCAGGGCAAGCCCACTGGCAAGGGGGGATGGAGAAGCAATGACCTACACGCTGTCCCATGGGACCCCTTGCAGCTCAGGTGCAAAGAGCAGAGATCCCTACCCATGACAAGGCCACACACCCCACCAGCCCCAGCCATGCTGGTTCTTCCCAGCCACCTTCTTCCAGAGTCAGTGAGAAAAGCAAACTGGGCAATAGCTCCTTGAAGGCCAGAACAACTATGGGTTCAAGCGTTTCCCAGGCTAAAGGGGAGATCTTTGAACTAAAAAACAGCTAGAAGGGCTTGAAAACAGACCTAACCCTGTGGGAGAACCACCGAGACAGATGTATGCTCACGCCCAGCCCACCTGGTACCACCTTCATCTCAGGCCAGGGTCAGTCTGCTGACATGGAGCAAGACCAACCTCTGCAGGATGGGACAAGGCACATCCACCTCCAAGTCCACCACCCTTCCACACAGACCTACCTTCATCCTCATATCCCTGGCAAACTTCTCCAGCTCCTTCCTGACTTCTGTGTGCATCATTTTGGACACATTGAGGACCAGCTGTTTCCACTCAATGGGCTGAAAGCTGTGCGGCTCATGTGGGACGTACAATCCAATTTTTACTTTTTTGACTGAATGCAAGTACTTTTTATAGGAGTCTTCAAATTCAAAGATGAGGTCACTCAGAGTTCGGTAAGTTAGAGGTTTGTCCATCAGATCTGATCGTCTGCTCATGCCCAGTGAGCCATACCGGCCGTTGCAATAAATCCCGAGCACCACATGATGAAAATAGTTCCCTGAGAAGTGGGTTTTAAAGCTGATGGGGAATCGTTCCACAGAGGGCTGCCCGTTCGTTAAGTATCTGGTGGGCACTGCGTCAAGGCAACAACGGTGCTGGGAAGGGAGCACACACAATTACAACTGTAAGACATCTTTAGCAGGTTTTTTTAACTGTCAGGACAGTTCTTGCAAACACAAATTTATTCTCACTGTGCCCCTGAAACAGTCAATGCTACCAAAGCCCATCTCACTGCTTGGAGAATAAGATGCAATGGGGTTCAGGCAAGGAGGGGCCTGACTCTTAACCACACTTCAGGGAAGGAAAAAAAACCACAACAGTGTTCAGGTCAGCATGCCAGAAGAGACCACTCTCCCCAAATCTGTGGGAACTCCCCCATTTTATACCAATATCAAACTCCCATGCTCCCAAAAGTGAACAGTGTTTCCCTCCATTTCATGTGGGAGCCTGGTACAAGTCAGATTATTGATCCTCATTTTCCCACGTCTTCAAACAGTACAAAAAAATCTGAATTTGTTTCTGTCCAGGGTGACAGTCTGCCTTTTCCATCTGTAAACTGGCCCTCGGCATGGCCACTCCTCATACAGGAGTGTTTTTGCATGTTACCTTTGTAGCACATTGCTGAGATGAACAAAGTAAAGCTCCCAGGTGGATAATTAATTAGATAAGCACAGAGACATGGTCAGGAACAAACACTTTTAGAAAGCAAAGTCTGTGCCCTCAGTCAATGGCTGGCCAGCGTCGTAGATGATCTCAGGGGGAGCTACGCACGGGTCCAGGTCATCTTGGGAGGCTGCTGGCCTGTGCCAGGGGGAGGACAGACTGAGATTCCCTCATGCAAGCACGTTTGCGTCAGCACCTACGTTGCACGCGGCTCCCTGCTGCTAATCCCCGGACAGCTGAAATCCACCCTGGCTCCATGTGCTGACACCTGGCCCCTAGGACAGCAGGCACCCTTCCCCTCTGCAGCTGAGCGCCCCACCCACGCCAGGGGAATGGAGAAGGGGGGACCAGAAAAGGCTGCAGCAAGACGTTCCGGGCTGGGGTTACTCCAGCCAGAGGCACCTGCTGTAACCCCAGAGCCACTGCCAGAGGCAGATGCAGTCAAGGCAGTTGGTCAGGGCAGTGCCAGTACGAACTACACCGGCCTGAGGGGCAGCGCTGCCAGGATGGCACCAGGGCAGCCTGGTGGAGGAGAAGGGCTGGTTTCCGCCAGAGCTGCGGGAACTGGCTCAGACCAGGGTCCTGCTCTGGGGATCTCCAGCATCCCCTCCTCCCCCTTCCCTGTGCCCAAAACGGAGGTCTTTAACAGCAGCAAAAACAGAGCCACTGCACAGTTGAAATGCTCTGGGATGTTACTGCGGCCAGCCTTCCACCCCTGTCTGCATAGCACGGCCGCCCAACAGCTGATGGGAAACTGAACACAAAAAGCCTTTGTACCAATACAATAAAACACAAGTCAGGCTTGGTTCTGGTTCTGCCCAACCTGACACCCCACCTCGCCAGCAGTGCAGCTCCCTCGGATGCTGACCCCCTGCCTGCATCCCACATTTCACCTCTTCTCTCTACAGGGATGCAGGAAAAGCATCCAGCAGCTCTCATCTGTCTCTAAAGCATTTTCTTAAGGGGATATTTCACCTACCTGACACTTGTTGAATTTCACATATTCAAACTTTTGCCCTCCAGGTGAACACAGAAAAGAAATAGTAAGGGATTCGTGAGCTGCCCAGAACCTGAGGTAGAGAGCAAGGAGTTAAACCCCTGTACAAAAAAATCCACATGAAAAACACATTGGCAAAAATCTTTCAGAACAGCCACAGGGAAGCTTTTTGGTTCAATGTCAAAACATATTTAATTGTGTTCCGTGCTAGATGTCATCAGCTTTAGCAGTCTGGAGAAAATGTATTAGAGGGTATAGGAACGGACAGTGCTGTGGGCCCAGCTCCTGGTGCACTTCAGTATCTGTACGACAGGAAGTCTGGACGAGTGCCCTAAGCAGAGCGCAGGCCTCCCTACTGCACACACAGCCCCTCACTCAGGCAAGGCTACATGCACCCACCTCTGCCCATCTGCCACCGCGGGCACCTACATCAAACATGAGCACCCTGCAGCAACCATCAAAGCTCACCCCAATAAGAACTACATTGACACAGAACAGAAATAGCTCGATTGCCTTTGGTGGTCTCTCTGGATCATTGTGGCACTAGGACTAGCTTCTCCAAGAAAAACCCCACACCTTCAGTAGAATTAAAGATTATAAATACACTGCAAGCTCAGAATGGGGCCCAGTGCCGTTTTATCAACTGGAAAACTCAGCCCACAGTCACCTTATTTAAAAGGTCACCTTGCTCCAGTCCTTAAAAGGAACATCCTGTGTACATCAAAGTCATGTTACAATAATTTGTGTCCTACAGACAGATTCTTGCAGAAACCCATTGTATTTATCATTCTGTGTGACTGAAAAAGCAGTATCTTTTATTAACACCTATGAAGCTTTCAAACACCACCACTATTTTTCCCCCTCATTATAAAAGCGTTTTCTCTCTGCTCCCCAAGTGCCTTTCTATTAAGTCCACACAAAGCTTTGGTGGCCACCTGCCACACATACACACTTCTGCCACGAGGTCTCAGAGAAGTTGCAATTTAATCTCATTAAATACTAGGTAGGAGTAAAAGAATCTTTTGAGGACAGAAATTACCCACCATCAAATAACCCAGCAACAACTGCTGTGGAAATTAACCTTTAGGTACAGGTTGCTTCTGCTGAGTGACTAGTTAATGAGAGTCCCCACCCGAGATGAAATACACAGCAAATGGACTAGAAAGGCACGTCAGATGTTCCCCTCCATCCATGCATCATTATTATTTCTTTTCCTTTCTGCTCTGGCCAAGGAGAGCTGTATTGTAGCAAACAAAAAGGCAACGACACAGCGATGCCACAGCTGTAATCACACTTTTGAGCTGGGACTGCAACTGCAGGATGGAGAGTCAGGGAGTAAATTACATGCCACAATACAGCAGCAGCGCAGAGCGGGAGAGGGAAAAAGCAGCTGTAATGAAAGCTCGGTGGCCTCCCGATCCCAGGTCTTCATGTAAATCAAAGCAGCACAACAACAGCACTGAGGGATGTTGATCTCCAAGGAGATCACACAAGAGGGACACTAATCTTCTGGCTGGCTACCTCTTGCCCCAATATCCCTCCTCTTCCCCCACGCTCAAGAATTGTCACGCACAAGGACAATACCTGGAGCTCCACCAGGATCTCATAGGAATGGGTCGGTACAGCATGTCCCCATCCCTCGGAGATTCCCGAACCCTGTCCACCCTGATGCTCAGCTCTTCTGCAGCCTCATACTAGCCCTTCAACCTCAATGTCTTCCATCCCACAGAGACACTAGTGCCTGCCAGCTAGGGCTGTGTGTATTAGGCAACTGATGAATTCTGCTCTCGTACCCTAGGAGGCTGATTTTGAAAGAGATCGGTTTGGGTCAAAGTAACAAGAGAAGCATTTGGCCCAAAGCATACAACCTGCTTTGTGGGTGACAGGCCATTGAGGTAAGCCAGTATGGCTCTATTAACAACTAGGCTTTCTTGAGTGCACCAATACTGCTAGCAGCCTGTAGAAAGGGCCAGATTTCCCATGCCAGCACACAGCTCCTACAGACCCGCAAGCTGACACAAGCACATCATCCTCCAAGCCTCAGGTTGGTGTGCTTCCTGCAGTCCCTTTGCCTTCACCACCCAGGCTCACACACAACCTAGCTTAGATACTTGGGAGACATTCAGCTCCCAGACACAAATACAAGCAAGACTTGGGACACAGAACTTGCACTCTGGCCACCACCTGCACCTTCCGGGGCAGGGCAGCAAACGAGAAGTAGCATCCTTAGTTCAAAAGAAAAGGGGAGAATTAGTTAAGGTGTTAGTGTAGTCAACCCCTTAGTTTTAAAACTCCAGAACAGAAAGCATCTGGATGGATCTTTAAATCTGCACACTCATACAATGATTCAACCAATGTCCTTCTGCAGTTTGGGGGATTTTTTGGTGTTTTGGTTTTTTTCCCCACCTCCTGGTGATCTGTAATATCAGAAAAGTCCCACAAAGTCGTCCCAGCATCTTCCCCCACTCTACACAGATGCCCCCACTGCAGAGCACAGAGCAGTTCCCAGCCAGAAGAGACACGAAGCCCTTCACCTTGTTTATTTGCCAGCAGCAACTTTTATTAAAAGTGTTCTTACTTGCCTCTTTTATTATTAATAAATAATCAGAGCAGGATCTTTCCATGTGCCAGCACTGTGGCTCCAGTCTTTGAATATTTCTGGAAATAGGTCTTAGCAGCTGATAGCACCCCCTGGAAGAGCAGCTGGCTCCCCATGGCTAGGTGAGCTTGGGTTACTTGCCACCAGCAGTTTTCCCACCACCCCTAGGAACTGCAGCCAGCTGAACAGGAGGCAAGGGGACACGCTGCAAAGGACCTCAGCCCACCTGTGTCTAAACCAGCTTCAACAGGAGTTTAGCTGGGGGCGGAAAAAAACCCGGTGCCTCAGCCAAGCTGACAAGCAGCAACTATGCAAGAGGTGCGCCGGTGGCAGGTGAGGAGACGAGTGCCATCCCTGCGCCATGCCCCCTTCCTGCAGCACCAACAGGGACCCAGACCTGCAGAGACCCCCAGGGGCAGGGGCCATGGGGAGACCATCCTCCTCAGAGCCCCAAAGGAAAAACGCCCAGATTAAGTCAGTGCAGCAAGGCCCTGCAGAGCCCACAAACAAACCAAGACAGTCTCAAGTTTCAGAGATAAGTGCCAGCATCAATTGTTTGACCAGACCAGCCTGCCAATGTTGATGTCTGAGCAGGTCTAAGCACCCAGCTGTCCCTGTGCCCAGACTCACAAAGTGCTTCTCCGCTAGCTGCAGGAAGATCCAGCATCACTCCTGACACCTTCTGGTGTCTCTGCTACAAGCCCCACTCTGCCTTACAAACCAAAGACAAAAAAGGTAAAGCCTTTTTTGAACCTGATATTGAGCAAGTGAGTGCTCACTGCACTGCTTCTGCTAATCAGTTTGTTGTTTTTTAGCTTGAAATTCTCCCTTATTTAACTTGGACAAGATGACATTGCAGTGCTTCACGTCTTAGAGCTCAAAGGTGTTTTTGCTGAAGTCTGGTTGAGACGAGCACAGAAAACCACAGGTTGTCTGGTCCTCTCCTCTCCAGCTGCTTGCAAAGGCTGGGGAAGTGTGAGCTGGCCCCCCGAGCCATTGCAGCAGGCTGTGCCACTGGGCACAAGCAAGCTGGAGGGGATGACAGCAGGCTGAGGAGAGAGGAGGCAGCTTTATTTATGCTAGCAATGCTGTAGCTGCCAGCTCAGAGTGAGGAGGTGGAACAGGAGGAAAATAAACCTCACGCTTCAAAACTGTCAGATAACGCTTCAGCAAAAACAAAAGAGCTATTTTTCTGAGAAACCAAGCAACTGCTTGCAACTGGAAACACTTGGAAAAGTTTCCAACCACAGCCTAGAGTCAGACAGTATTTCCCACAGGCTCCAGGAGTGCTGAGATCCCAAGCTTGGGATTGCTTACTGTGAGGCAGAGTGCTAGTGAGCCCACATCTGGATGCCGTCTGCACAGAGAGCCCAGGTTCCCCCCAGCAGCTCCAGTGCCCACAAAAGAACCGCTTGAGCAGCTGGCTTAGCCTCCCAAAGTGGGACTATCAGGCCAGCATCCCTTGTTTTTAGGCACCTGTTCTCCAGTGCCTGGCTGCAGTCTGAGGTGACCATCTTAAGATTAGACCGCGACAATAGAAGCAAGTAAAAGCTCTCCCCCAACTCCCCCCAGCTACCA